CACTGAAGGCTGGTGTCCACCAGAGTTGTTGTAATTTACATAATACACTACACTAGACCCCAAGTGCTTCAACCGCAGCGGATTCAAACTCTTTAAACAGGTCTGCAGCGGTCTGCACTCAACACTGTGATAAAAACAATGTCCACCAACGACACAAGCGGTCTCCGCCTCAAAGAGAATCACTTGGACATTGAAGCTTCCTGAAAGGATCCTTACCCAAACATACCCAAACAAACTAGTGGTCAGCGATGGTGTATTTCTTTCATCTCCTACTTACAGAGTGGGGTCATCCCCCAATTCCCAAACCTCTGGCCTCTGCACCCGATTAAAAAGAGAAATGCTCCCGGTGTAAACGCCAGTTCTCCTCCGGGAGCCGCGCATGAGCCGCTTCAGGCACGGCCAGCACCGCACCGGCCGCCAGCGCGGCGGCCTCCGGCTGAGAGACCTGGCGCAAAACACCACGGTCACACTGCCGAAGGATTGAGGCGAAACACAGTAGCCAAACACCCCCAGACCGTGAAGCAATTTGTTTTGCAACCACCCGTGGCTGAGTAAGTCCTAAGTCTGAGACATCCTTGGGATTTTCTAGAAAGTGGCCGTGCCTTCACCTCGCGGGAAGAAGGTCCCAAGAAGGCCCACTGCAAGCACATCAGCCCACAAAGGGCTGCAAGCAGAGCTACCTCAGATGGCTCAAGCTGAGGAGTTATGTGGAAATCTCATAAAATCTCTGGAAGCGAGTGACGCTGCTCTTTTGAGGTCCGGAGTTGCTAGTTTGAGCTTCCAAGCAAGAAACAGCACCATCCTTTTTGGGACCAAGAAGGTGTGAAGCATCGCTAGTGTGGGACCTTCACCATCGTCGTGGACGAGTTTCTAACCGCATGGGCCTCCAAGAGAAAACGTCGAAGCAAAATTTGGGTTCGTTCCACAATTCTCGGCAGACTCTTCATCTGACTACTCCCCTTCAATCGGCCGCGGCACGCCAGACCGTCTCGCCATGGCTTTGATGAGAAGCGAGCGACGGGGTCACCGGTGCGTCGGGGCCAAAAGAACTGAAGCATTGATCATCAACCCGTCTTTGGCAGAACATCCGCAGAACTTCAGGGCGAAGTGAATCGAGTGAAATGAATGTGTGAAATGACCGAGAAAAACCAGGGTGTCACACCATGAAGTTCAGCGATGAAGACCAAAAATCGGAGCATCTGATGATGTTGGAACGTTGAGAGCACACCAAGATCACACCTGCCGGCAAGGAAAGTACACAAGGTCCCAAATAAACTCAACACCTGAAACTACCGTAGAACAGCCTGATGCTTCTCATTTGCAAGAGCAAAGAATTCTCCTTACCCAGGCGTCTAACAAACAACTGGTGCCAATGTTTAGCCGTTGCAGATCTACGGATTGCTGCAATTGCTACCAAGACAAGGGATTGCAAGGCCTCGAATTGTTTGCCCTGGATAGACTCGGCAGTTTCCGGTTTCCCGCCTCCCTTCGGTCACCGGCTGTTCCTCTTGTTTCTACAGTAAAAACGGTGGCGCTCGGTTTGTTGGTTCGTTGCCAAAAGCGGGTGCCCCGATCAGCGGAAGCCCACGGCAGCCTGGAGGCGAGCGAGTGGGTGGGACCCATCAACCTCCTGGTTGGCCATCCACCTCCCCTTTGGTGCAAGCTTGAGCCTCCAGAGGTTGGTTCGAGGTACAGTACCCCAAATGGTTCCATGTTTCGTGCGCATGCGGACCGCAGATTGGACACCGGATGCC